AAACAGTTTTAAGAGATATAATCGGAAAAATTGCTTGAACACATTATCATTTCAAAGATTTTGCAACATACTGAATAAATTTCAATATTACATTTTTAGATGAGCTGAAGGGTATTAGCGAAAATTTTGAAGTACATAGAAATAAATAATATTAACAATATCGACATTATAATCCAGCTATCATAAACTAACCACAGCTTTTGAGCGAAATAATCAATAAAACAAATAAATAATAATAAATTAATAACTAGTACTTATTCCAAAATCTCATTAAACGCAGTGAAACTAGACTTTTTTGAATTTGACGATGATACAGATTTCTATGCATATGTCTTCGACCAAAAATATAGCAATGTGGTATGTGCCAAATTACCATCATTTAAGTGTGTATATATGCTTATGTGAAAAATTACAGCATGAAATTAAAAAAAAAAAGAAAATATTTATAACAAGTAAGGAAGGCCCAAGTTCGGATGTAGCCGAACATTTTATACTCAAATGGTATACTCGTTTGAGATTTCTTTGTGGATTGACTGATATTTTTGGTAAAAGGTCAACTATAGGCACTGGGGTCCACATATTTAGTACTTAGGGGCTTGAACAGTTTTGGTGATTTAGACAATTTTTGGTCACAAGGTGGCATACTTTAAACGTATTCACGCAAAGTTTTACCCCGATATAATCATTGTTGCTTGATATGCATAGTGGAAAGTGAAAGAATCAGATGAAATTGAAAATGTGTTATATGGGAAATAGGCGTGCTTGTATTCCGATTTCGCCCATTTTCGCACTATGACATAGAAATATAAAAAGAACGTTATGCACCGAATTTGGTTGGAATCGGTTAAGCAGATCTTAAGATATGGGTTTTCACCTAAAAGTGGGCGGTGCCACGCCCACTGAATAATTTTGAACGCGGTTCCCATAAAGCCATCTCATACGATTTCAGAGATAAAATTTAATGTCTCTGGCGTGTTTAGTGCTTGATTTATCGAGCTTTTAGTAGTTTTTAACAGTACCGTTATATGGGGAGTGGGCGGAGTTGCCACCCAACTACTATTTTCACACTGTAGGTAGAGGTTCTAAAAGCATTTGTTTCCAGTGAATTTTGTTATTATAGCGGTAGCGGTTTAGGAGATATGGACATTAAACCTATTAGGGGCGGGACCACGCCCACTTAAAAAAAAATTTAACTGCAGATGCCCCTCCCTAATGTGATCCTGTGTACCATACCATACTAAATATGAAATAATCAAAGAACTGCCCAATCATTTAATTAAATATTTGTAATAAGTGGGTGGAAGTACCATCAAAAAAACAAACAACATTGCTTACTATATACTGTACATATGTACAATGGATATGTTAATAAAACACAGTATGTTATAATAAAACTACGATTTTGCCAATTTTTACACCAGCTGGAAAGATATGTAAAAATCTGAATTAGTGCAAAAGTTCAGTATTTGAATCTGTTATACGCTTAGAGGAAATCTTGGCAAAATTTTACTTTCTTCATTTTGCCTGTCTTTGCCCCTTTCTTTCTAAAATAATTGAACAAAATATTTTTCATTTGCAGTTTATATTTTTTAATTGATATTTACCGCAATTATCATAAGAAATTTTTCGTAACACACTGTATTTATTCACATCAACAATGAAAGAGTAACAATAACGGCAATCAAACAAATTATCTGCACTCCGCCCAATGCAATAGTAGTACTCATTAAGAAGTGTTAGTAGCTTGTTTGAAATTATTTCAAATCCATACAAACACATGCATACGATAAAATAAAAACACCCTTGCAGAAAAACGTAGTAATTACGTACTGCTTGGCATATTTCAAAATGCATCTTTGGATTGAGTTTTACGATGTGATGCTCCAAGAGCAGAAAATTCCTCTCCACTGCATATATTTCTCTACTTTTCAATAAAATTTCAAAAATTGTTTTGAAGGTATAGGTATATGGTTAGTAGCCAAAGCACTAAAAACGGTAGAAAAATATTGTGTTATCGATATTTTTAATATTATATATTGGAATTGGTATTTAATTTAAAATCAGCCTTTTACTCCGCTTTTTTTAAGGCCAAAATTTGGCTGATCAAAACTGGGGAAAAATTCAACTTTTTTTTTACAAACGCTGCCATTTTTTAAATTTATGATTAGCGTGCCGAAGTGAATCGATTTAGTCATGTCCGTCTGTATACGCGCGAAGTATCCCCTTAGTTTTTGAGATATCGATCTGAAATTTTGCATTTGATATCGGATCACTATAACATATAGTTGTCATATTAATGAAAATGAAATCCTTGTATGAAAGATTTTTTATTTAACAAGATATCTTCAAGACATTTAACGGGTTATTACCCAAGGTACAATTTTCGAAGAAAATGGGCATTTCATTAATTTACATACAAGAATTAGGGTTTGGGCTTCATTTCTTCCAAGGGCTATGATTTGCTGCTCACTTTGAAGCAAATAAAAAAAACCCATTTTACTAATATTCGCTTGTTTACAATCACAGTACCGGATGTTAGAAACAGATAACGAGGGGCAAATATGGTAGGTTTCCGATTTGAATGCCACATAAATATAAAACTTGCACTGAGAGACCCTAACGAAGTCGATAACTATATGCATTGCCTATATATTTAGATTTGTACTTATTAATATACATACACATACGCTTATCTGTTTCTTTACAAATACATTACGTTTGGCGTATAAATCGTCATGTTCCTTCGATGGACTACCGACTTAGTTGAATTTAGTAATGCCCACTAACCCATATTGGACAACATTTATTGCAGCATTAAGTTATTGAAGCCATGATAACTAAGATAGCTTTACTTATTTTAGAGGTAACCTAACTTTCTGGGCTGGTTAAAGCTTCTCAAAAGGGTTTCTAGTGTTGCTTACAGTCCATGAATGCAAGATCCGATGGACCCATTTTATAACGAGAATACAAAACTGAAACAACTGGTATTTTGAAATAACCGGACTTTAATTCCTGGTTAGGTTTCATATTTTATCATTTTTAATGAAATAAACACTGCATTAAGGTTTTAACTCTGAGGTGCATCTTTGTTTCCAAGTTTTTAGATTTAACTTGGAAACAGCGAAGATTTTTTATCTTCAAAGGTAAAACAAGGCGCATATTTACACCCTGAAGCGAATACGAGATAGTTTTTTTGTGATAAATGATTGAAGCGGCCATCAAGTATGTCTAAAAATACAATAGGAACCAATATATTCATCTTAGATATTCTAGTTGATATACTGCTCAAGTATGAAGACTGCTGGAGTGCTTAAAAATCGTGTTTTATATACATAACTTCTCCAGAAGGGCATTGCCGCATAGTGGGGGCTAGGACCCCAAATAGTGCGATTGGACGACATTCAGTCCCATATCAACATATAGTGCGTTCATATATTGTAGTAGAAAGCACTAATGAAAAAATGTCACATTGAACCCCTGGAATAAATGCAGCAGGCCTATTTCCGGGAGAATACAGGTATTAGGAAAAATAAAGATGATGAAACATTTGCGAATGTTCAGCCTTCAGCCGGTTCAGACGGGTATCTTCCCATGCTCCCAATGTTGTAATTTAAAAGATATTGGAAGCCAGTTTTGGAAAATCTCAGCAGTTTTAATAAATCCATTGAGTTGTTAAATGAAAATCTTGTTGGAAGGCTCTACAGCCCTTGCTTTTCAACCAATGATAACCAAAAATATATTTATAGTCTGCACAGGGTATATTAAGTTTGGCGCAAAATTTGCAAGTTCCAGAAGGACATGTGGGAGACCTTATAAGTACAATATATACCGTATATATTACGAAATATTTTGCACACTGAGCAGGTTCTTGGAGAGAAAAGGACGTGTGCAAAATATTTCGTAATATATACGGCACGTGTCCTTTTGGAACTTGCAAATATCGTCGGTTTCGTCGATCTCGGATTACTAAAGGATATATCTGTCATACAAACTGATCCATCAAAATCTAGTTCTTGTATTGAAAATTTTTTTATTTGACAAGATAGTTTCACGAAATTTATATCAAACACTGTGGTTTTAAATCGTTGACAGGTTAAGTTTTCAGACTTAGTTATACATTTAAATAGTTGCTATAAGAAATGCACCTGCAAAGGGTATTATAGCTGCCTAAAATAAATCAGAGATGGCAAAGAAGACTTACAATACAGCGAAATAATTATAAAAGTACAAAATGTGTAATTAAATATCTTAGCTTATGCCTTTATCTAACCTTTTTAACTACTGACTTTCTATGCAAGTCTGATATACATACTTACGTACTTATGTGCATTCAATATGTTTAAACTGCTCGAGGCTGCGAAATTGGCCGAAGTAACTTTATCCATAAGCAGAACAAGCGATGGTGCAGATGGGAGTTTCAAACATTTTTTACTATTTTATTTTAGTGTGATTGTTTTCGAAATTCTCGTTTTCCTTGCAATGTATACAGTAGTTATTTGTAAACAATATTTTTTAATAAAAACTATGAAAACAACAAATTCTTTGGCGTAATTGTATACGGAAAGGCGCACAGTAGATCAATTTGAGCTGGCATCGATTTTTTATATATATTTTTTATAGCTTTTTAGGTATTAGAATTTACTTACTACAAATTATTTGTTCATATTAGAGACAAATACAAATATATATATTTTTGTATTCATAATATGATGCCTTAATTGAAAATAACATATAACAAGTAATTCGACATTTTAACTCTCCATTCTTCTTTTAAATTTTACATATTCTGAAAAAAGGTTCTAAAAATCAGTAAATAGTTAGTTTTCCAATAACTTTCAACGCTTAAAGAGAGTATATAAAAAAGTATAAATAATATTATTGTATATTAAATTATAAAAATTATGAAAAATGACTGATCTTCTTTTTCTGTTTCGACATATTAATTTATTAACTCTACGTCTTCACTTTGCAAAAAATTAGTCACATACCGATCGGCTCGTCACTTTATATAATATTTTGATATACTTATTTGACACAATTCTTCAAATCGCAGGATGACATCTAAATACGAACTCATCAAACTCATCACAAGGCGCTTTCAGGGGGATTTCCTATTTTTGTTTAATTTTCTAGGATCTTGTAAGGTTCGAATCTTTTCGGTCAAGCAGAAAATTGTAACAGGTGAACACGGTCCAAAAGGTATCAGGCCATAAGCATTAAAAATGATTAACAATAATCCAGATATACGTATATGGTAAATTAAATAATTAGAGCTAATATTTGTTTTAAATTTGTTCAAGCTTTTTAAGTGCTTTAAGCAGAACTGATTGCATTAACAAAAACAGCGAAATAGTGAGAAATACACCATGCAACCCTACAGAGAAGGTTCCTTATATATGTATCCAAGCGATTGTTGTTTAAATACAAAAATAACTCAATACCATCGCCTTTAATATAATTATAATTAATTTTCTCAGCAGACTATTATTCGGTAATCGCACAAGACACTGTACCACTACCGACTGCAGCTGCCGTCATAGCTATTCGATGGCGATTACCACTTTCCGCCATTCAGTCTCGTCTGTGATACGGTCACGGGTGGCGTTCAAAGTGTTCGTGGCTTGACAGTTTGTACATAAAAACACACATGCAAATGATATATGAGAAAAAAAAATATTTCAGAAATAACGCCAAGTGTATAATCTAATGTTTTTGTATACAGAAAATTTGTAAATAAAATTTTATGAGTAATATACATTAGCAAAGTGCGATTTTAATATTTGCTAATAAATTTCAATTTGTACAAAGTGTGTGACTGCTGGAGTGCTGGAGGAAAAAATTCTACGAAAGGAACGCCGCTTATGCATATTCAGTTAGAAATCTGAGTGAGAAATAAACACAGAATAAGCTTAACAATGAAAACAAAATAATTAAAAGAAAAACTGTAATGCAATTTCTCTGCCCACTGCACGTGTATTTTCAAGCCACAATAACAAAGTGAAGATAAAGAGAAAAAATAAAAACAAACAACAGCATCAATTCAAATTCGCCAATTTGACGAGTGAAAAGCTTATAGCGAATAAGTGAACAAATAAAAGAGAAAAAACATATAAAACATAAATAAATAAAGACAAGGTACGAAGAAACATTTATGTTAATTAAAATTATGCGCTTTTCATATTTAAGTACATATATAAAGCAATAAATAAGTTAGTTTGATTTGTAGAAAAAAGTATATCGGCATCCAAAAATAATAAAACAAGAAAAATCGTTAATTTCGTCTGCACCTAATCCGGAATACCCTTCACAAATAAAGACGTTTCTATACAAGGACATACATTTTATGCTATAGTGATCCGATCTGAAAAATATCTTCAGAGCTTTGCGCTCAAAAATATTTCATAAAGATATCACGTCAAAAAAATTTTTTATATTTATAAGAACCTAATATTGATCGGTCAGTTTGTATGGCAGCTACATATATGATATAGTGGTGGCGGTTCCGACAAATGAGCAGCTTCTTATTGAGAAAGGACGTGTGTAATATTTAAAATCGATATCTCAAAAACTGAACGACTAGTTCGCGTAAACAAGCTCTTTATTTTCAATTTAAACCGTACCTAAATCCAATTTATTCTCATGTAACTTTTAGTATGTAACATGGGATTTTTTGAATTTTTCATTCAAACAAGTAAGCCTACAACCTTGAAAAAAGGATATTCTAATACAAAATTTTCCGCATTACAAAAAAGGTGCTGATGAATTTTTCCATAAAACCACGCCTTTAAAAGTCATTCGCAGTTAAAGCTATACATCAAATGCACTGAGGCTCAGAAACTTTCTTATTCCATAACTGACGGTACCATGTCGTATGAGTTACACAATTTATAAGGCACTTGTATGAAATCTCAATACATTTGATTTATAATTTTAACTGCGTATAACTTTTAAGTAAAGTTTTTATGAAAAATTATTTTTGTAGAGCAGATTTTGTATTAAAATATCATTGTTCAAAAGTTGTAGGTTTATTTGCTTTGGAGATAACAAATTTTGTAATAAAATTAAAAAAAATTCAACTTGGGAAATAACGTACACCCCAATGGACATACGGACAATTATACACATATTATGTCTGTATATTAGGGTGGGTCAAAAAACGTATGTTTTTTTTCGGAAAATTGTTCGAGAGACCAAGTGTACCTGCTTTCTTGATGGTCGAGATTTTCTCATACGACAAACGTTTTTTGGGTTCTAAACGATAAATAAAGAATAAAACCATCAAGTTTTTCGAAATTCGAAAAATTCCGAAAGTTATTGCTATTTATATTTTTTTGTATTTTTTTTTATTAATATTTTTTTTTCTTAACAGACCACAACGATTTCGCTAATATTTAATACTACGATTATGAGTGAAAAAGTCTTCTTTCATTTGATATTACTAATTTTTACAAGAAACAATGTTTGTAAAATATTCAAACAATTTTCTTAAAACAAATTCAATTAAAAACAACTTCGACAGCATTCGTCCCTTACAGTTTTTTCGTGGCATCTAAACGTTTGAATATTATAAACGGTTGAAGTTTGACTATTTTAAGGTAAATTTGTTGTTTTCTTTTGATCAACCGATTTTTCAGAGTACGAACATTCGTTTTTTTGACCCACCCTACTGTACATACGTTTACATATATACTGCATATCTACGATGCAGGAATGTTTATATGCTATTTTAGGTTTCATTGAAGAGCGTAACGTAGTAGTTCTGCTATTCTAAGGCCATTGTGTGCAATTATGGTGCCTGTATGCAATTCTCCATCGGCACAATGTATAATACATATTAACACAATTGTTCAATCATCTATTATATATATTATATATATAATATTTTTACGCAGTTTTTATCAATTTCATATGTACCGTACATAGTATTATGGAGCTTAGTTAGCAATATATTGAGTCAAAAAGATATTTATATTGTTTAAATAAATAAAATTTCCCATTTAATTACAAAATATGCCTCTCAAAATGTGTTAATTTTAATAGTTTCTCGAACGGGTGATGGATTCTTTGAGAAACTTTTTAATGTTATAGCAGTATTCTCAATCGTATATCTATGTAAGTATTGAGAGCTCTTAAAAAAGTGCCATTAAAGCAAAAAATAGCATATTGTAAATGATACAGCTTATTTGGTAATATTACGAATCTATTATTTACTTATAGTCTAAGAGCCAGTGGACGGCAGACTGTATGTATTTTACCAAAGGTAATATTTTGCTTAAAGATTCTTCGAAACCTACCTTACATGAAATCGGGAGCCACTAAGCCCAGCAAAGGTAGCTATGACGTCATTAAGGTAATACAGGTACGAAAATTAGAAGAGTTTCGAAAGTATTTTAAGAAAGCTGCACTTTGGTCATATCAAAGAGTTCAATCAATGCAGCACCCAAAATGAATGGCAGACAATTTTGTTAGTTAGTTAGCTTGTGGCAGACATTTTTTTAACAAATCTGATTTTTATACTCTCGCAACCTGTTGCTACAGAGTATAATAGTTTTGTTCACCTAACGGTTGTTTGTATCACCTAAAACTAATCGAGTTAGATATAGGGTTATATATATATAAATGATCAGGATGAAGAGACGAGTTGAAATCAGGGTGACTGTCTGTCCGTCCGTCTGTCCGTCCGTCCGTCCGTGCAAGCTCTAACTTGAGTAAAAATTGATATATCTTTATGAAACTTGGTAGACATGTTTCTTGGTACCGTGAGACGGTTGGTATTGCAGATGGGCGTAATCGGACCACTGCCACGCCCACAAAACGCCATTAATCAAAAACAAATAAATTGCCATAACTAAGCTCCGCAATAAGATACAAGACTGTTATTTGGTACACAGGATAACATTAGGGAGGGGCATCTGCAGTTAAAATTTAAATAGAGATATTAAATTTTATCTCTGGGATGGTATGAAATGACTTTATAGGAACCGCGTTCAAAATTAGACAGTGGGCGTGGCACAGCCCACTTTTAGGTGAAAACCCATATCTTGGGATCTGCTTAACCGATTTCAACCAAATTCGGCACATTACATTCTTCTTAAATTTCTATATTATAGTACGAAAATGGGCGAAATCGGATTACAACCACGCCTATTTCCCATATAACATAATTTTAAATTCCATCTGATTTTTCACTTACCAGTATGCAAATCAAGCAAAATTATCTAAATTGAACCAAAATTGTTCAAGCCCCTAAGTACTGAATATGTGGACCCCAGTGCCTATAGTTGACTTTTTATCGAAAATATCGGTCAACATAGAACAAGGCGGCATGATTCACAAAGAAATCTAAAACGAGTATACTTTTGACTTTGCGAGAGTATAAAATGTTCGGTTACATCCGAACTTAGCCTTTCCTTACTTGTTCATACATATAATATTTTTAATACTTTTATTAGCTTATATTTAAAACGGCAGACGTTTTCTCCGATTGCAACAGTCGGACAGACGTCAATATATTAGATAACAGAATACAGGAAAACGTTAACTTCGGTTTAACTGAAGCTAGAATATCCTTCACAAATACAAAATATTGCTTACAAGAACTTGATTCCGATTGTTCAGCAGCTATATGCTCTAGCGGTACGATATCGGTCGTTCCGACAAATGAGCAGCTTTTGTGTGAGAAAAGGACGGGAGCAAAATTTCAGATCGATATCTCAGAAAATGGGGAACTTTTTTTTATATATACAGACAGACGGATATGGCTAAACCGACTTAGCTCGTCATGCTGATCTTTTGTTTATACATTTTATTGGGTCTCCGACGTTTCTTTCTAGGCAAACTTAATATACCCTGTTCAGGGTATAACTATATAAAATATTAAATACAATGTACATATATTGAATTTTTTTAATTTTTATATAACGACATAATTGATGACGTACCCTGTATGGCTATATGTATATATGTCCGAATGTATTTATTATTCATGGCTTCTGATGAACAGATGCAGTCATTCCCATATTTTTATACTACAGATATGCCCGTATGTACATATATTTGTTCACCTAACAATTCTTTGTAATACATAAAATTAATCGAATTAGGTATGGAGTTATAAAATTATAGATAGAAATGATAATGACGACGAGACAAATTTGATTGAAATGTAATTTGATACAGGTAATAGCTGTAAGAGAGGCTTTGTGGTTTAGAAATTTTTATTAAATGGTGTGACTCCGCTTCATAATATGTACCTCTACCTCGTAAATCATTACAGCGATATCAACCCAACTTACTGAAAATAAATCCTTAAACAGTTCTTTATATAGTGTGAACATGGGTGAAATCGGATAATAATCACTACCATATCTATATAACGGATACATTGAAAACTACTACAAGTGCGACAACTCACTAAAGAAAGTCGTTAAAAGCATAAAACTTTACAGTAAAGAGTGTACGGTATGAAAAAGGAAAAAATAGTCGAAACCGTACCTTAACTTTTCAAGGTCCCAGTTATTAAACATCTAGATTTTAGTGTATATTTCTCACTTTTTACCGAAAATATCAATCAATATAGGTAAGAGTTATTTTAAAGAAATTCGTTGAGTATCTTTTCCTAGTAACAATGTTTCTTTTTGTTAGCAATGGCTAAAATCAATTCAATACTTTCCCTAGCCCATATAACTAAGATTGCCGAACTACCAATATTTGTGATATTTTAATGAAATTAAATTGACATACCTTTTTAAATTTTTTTTGCTAAAGTTGAATTAAATCGATCTAGGCCTTGGTCTATAACATTAATATTGGAGATCGAGGCTAATTTCAAGCATATCATCTGAAGTCTCCTTTGTGATAAAAAAGGTTCTGGCGATGAAGTACACGTTAAGTACAGGTGGTAAAAGAAAATTCCTGAACACCGTTTACGATCTAACCCAAGGGTATATAAATGTGGTTACCAACTGGGCAGAGAGATATAGATTAGCCATAAATACAATAAAACTGAGGTAGTTTTATTTACTAGGACATACAAAATCTCTGACGTTACTCTCCCCTCGTTGGGAGATTCTATTTTTCAACCAGTGGACAGGGTCAAGTATTTGGGAATTATCCTTGAGAAGAAGCTCTCATGG